GAATTAACTTAAAATATAGTTAAGTAGTAATTGTGTTAGCTTTGATGTATAAATTGATACTGTAATATTTTTTTTTCCTATGTTCTGCTCTACTCTATGCCTTTTTTTGTATACATATGTATAGGTTAACTTTGTTCTTTTCTAATGATTTCTTGATGATGACAATTGTAAATTGTTGAATGGTTGAAATCAAAAATAAAATGTTTTTTGTGTCGCAGTTCTATACTCTTTCATTACATACTTATTTCAACTTGCGCTTTCACCCAATTATATATTAATTGATATGAAGTTTATCTATATAAATTAATGTAACGCTCACTTTTATTAGAGTGAAGTCAACCAACAAATTGTTTTTTTTATCTATTAACGATTAAACACATGGCTGCCTGGAACAGTATGTAAAAACAAACAATTAATATTAAAAAAACTATGTAAAACATTTTTTTTAGGTGGACTTTTTAATTGTTTCGACGATTGTGGTATTTGTCTTTATGGTTATTGTTGTGCACCATGTCTATTTGGAGAAAATGCTGAAAAAATTGATGGCAGTAATTGTTGTAGTTCATGCTGTTTATGGTACTTACTGGCACAATGTAGTTTATGTTGTTTAGTACATATGGGCAAACGAGAAGCTTTACGTAATCGTTATGGTCTTGAAGAAGATTGTAATGATTGCCTAGCAACAACATTTTGTGCTCCATGTGCAATTTGTCAAGAAGCACGTGAACTTAAATATCGTTTGGCTGCTCCTGGAGGTATATGAATATATAAAAACTTTATATATTATTGAATAGGTTCTCTATGATTTTAGGACCAACACCAGTTATAACACAACCAATGGGCATAAATATGCATTCGCCAAATGGACAACCAGGAAATATACAACCTACATATGAGCAACCAGGAATGATAAAACAAGGATTATATTAATTGGATGATTCATTTTTTTTTCGTTTTCTAACTATTTTATCTTTTCATCATCTTGCTTTATCATTTTACATTCTATGTTATTCGAAAAATATTTAATTCTGTATGTTAATAAGAAACAAAATAATAATACTTAATCAATTATCATTTTTATTTAAATATAACATATTTAAATTCATTGGTAGATTTTTATTCATTAATATTTAAAAATTCATAATCTATTCTAATATACAATTCTTATGAATTTTTTTTGATAATCGATCATTGCTTTTTGTTAAACATTACTCAAATTCTAACTATTTGAATATGACTATTGATTATTTTTCCAGCTTAAGATGCAAAAATCTTTATCAAAATCTTTACTCACAATTATCAAATTAATTATAAATCTACAAAAGTTATATTGAAGATAAAGTATATTTCGATATTCGCCTTTCCTAGCTTGTAAAATATTTTGTTTGAGTTCTTTTCAAAATCATTCATGTTTCGTAAACAAATCATTAATTGAAAATTTTCTGCCCAATTATATGAATACATTTAGTTCCAAAAGAATTCAGAGCCATTTTATTTAGGCTTATCTGAAGTGCATTTTATTCAATACAGGGATTAGTTGTAAAATTAGCATACTTGACATTGATTCTATCATTTTTTATTATCATTTTTGATAAATGACAATAATCTGTTTTTGAATATAATCTATCAGATAAAACTTGCAGATACTTCATAAAACATAACAACCTCTGATACACTTTGTGATGATGTTATTTATTGACGACTTTTGTCTTCATTATTTTAGTAGAAAAATATTTTTCTGACAAAAATTTGATTTTACTATGTATTTTTTTTCTAAATAACTAACTGCGTGTCTTGACTATTTAATGTTAGCTATCTTCTGACACAAGTTGTAAATACATTTTGAAAGGTTTTACCTGTAATGACCTAAAGTACTAGAATAAAACGATAGAATATCAACAGATGTTACCATCAACAACTTGTTATGAGAATAATTGAATTCATTCGATAAATGTTTTCGATTAAAAAGATTCATTGTTAAGATTGATGGTATCAAAAAATTTATCTTTTGTGAAGAGGTACTAAATATAGTCACATATGGGGTAAGAGAAATGTTTTTTTTCCTTGTGTCAATACAACCTTTTTTTTATCGAATAACGATATAAATGTCTATCGGCACTCATTTTCAAGTTTAATGAAGCAGAACTATTAAATGAAGTTTCTTATTGCTATTTTATAAATGAAAACTCAATACAGCATAAGAAAACAGTTGTTCTCTCGTGGGAACAGCTGTCAAAAAAAGAAAAAGAAAAAGAAAAAAGAATGCAACATATTTATGAAGGTCGAAAGAAGCCGAGAATACTACTAATTGCAATTGATCACCGACATACAATACAGTAGAAGGTAAAAAGCTTGAATGATATTTTTTGATTCAAATCTAGATAAACATACAAGAGATTAGATTATTTGTTTCTTATCATTTTCGCTTTTTTTTTCTAATCGGTACGCAATGAAGAATATATTCAACGTGAGGTCTAAAATATCGTATTACAAAATATTTGCATAAAAACAAATAGAGAACTACATAAAATGTATTTGCTGCAAAAAAATTGCTCTACCAAGTAGTAATGTAAGCTGTTCTATTCCTACGAAGTAAAAAAAACATTTAAGGAGTGTATAAATCAATACTATGAATAAGAATGACATATTGACAGAACACAACTTGAGAAGATTAGGACATAGCTCAGGCACTCTTTTGTATTGAATGAATATTATATTTTTTTTCTGTCGCGTTCTTCATAGAATGTAATACCTTGTAATTCCATCATATAACTTACTTGTCGCATTCAATAAGAATCGTAAAAAAAGTACGTTACCTTCACTCATATCGGTCTAGATTTTATTAAAAGATATTTACAATTTAAGATTAATCATGTAAGTAATAAAACGAAATGCATGATTACTAGCTTGTTTCACAGATATAATAACCAACAATATACATATTGAGAAAACAGTTGACTCTAAATATTATAGTCATTTAGAACAATAATTATTCCCCTTTCTTCGCTCGCTTTGGCAGTGGTTGAGAGTTTTTGCTTCTTTGCTCGTTGCGTTATTTTCGCTCTTTGTTGTCGCAAGAATCTATGCCTAAGACTTGTTAATTCTTGTGGTAAATGACTTCTTCAAGCATACAAACCCATAACTTTATTGATCAACAGCAACCAATTTATATACTCGATGAAAACTCTGGTATGCACTCAGATCGACTATTACGGACTTCGTATATACCTGTGAATGGCTGTATACGCTTCCAATACGACCGTTTACGGTCATATTTTGATGGATTACATGATCCGGTATTACGCTCGTATATCGCTATGATCGTGTACAGAGACATACGATCGTATACGGACTTCATATACAAGCATCGTAAATGACCGTTTGTTTCTCCGTATCCGACAGTAACACTGGACCGTATGAACTACCGTATTCCTCCATATACGGCCGTTTACGACCGTGCTTGTTTGACCTGGGTAGACAGTGATAAATAGTGTACCACTTACTACAAACAATGAGATGTCGCAAAAATAACAAATCATTTATTGTAATGTCCCAAGTAACTATCAACCGATCAATAATCTACGGACCTATTTATACTTCTAACAATGGCCTAAGAGGCAAATCTTTAACCAGTATTCCTCAGCTAGTGTCTACAAGCTCAACATCATCTTCAATAACAACAAATTGTGCCATCGATAAACATTCTTTTCTCACTAGCACAACAGTTGATGATGCATTCCGCCATGAATCAACAACAAGCACTATTACCATCATACCAACTATCCGTTATTGTAACAGCTGTACCTTTTTTATCAATGACAAACCTAACAATATCTTCAACGCCAATATTAGCTCCAACTAAGAAAGGTTGCAATGACAGTAAGGGCGTTTCTGAATCAAGTGTACAATTACAATCTCAATACCCACAAATTATTCGTGTATTTAATTCAAGGAATACATCTAACAAATGTCTTCGTAGAATCAATTAACAACACAATGAAGTTACTTTTTCAAGCCGATGTGTACAAAATCAACTAGAAGAATTCAAGCAAGATTTTCCCGCGACAAAGAACATGGTGAGTTTATATAACAATCAGCAACAATCCTCCATAGTAGCCTGTCGCTTTACTACAACTCGTTTTTGCTTTCTCACCTTTATTGATGATTTTCTCGAATGAAGTTCGTGAGAAGGTATAGTTATTGATGATCTTATCAAGTATGCACTTGATAATATCAATTTTGAATTAATACTGTAGCCTATCAGTCGGGATGAACAGAAAACGACGAATGTCGCATCCTAATTTATAACAAGAAATCCATCGATTTCTCGGCAACTCTTTCCAGTCTTACCGTCTCTATCAGTTCAGATAGATAGGAATGATTTCGTGCAGAATTTGAAAGACAAATATCCGAGTACATTGAATATTATTTGTTTAAAAAAATAAAGCACAACAAACCGGTACGAGCAGTTAAAATGAAATATTAGGAACCAGTAGTATTTCGATTATACAAACGGAACTCAAGGTGGTCAAATTTTATTCCCAACCAAATGTACTGCTTTGCTCCAACTGTTACGGAATCTGACAGTTCAGAAAAAATTGTTTACAGAAGAATGAATCTACGTGCAAAACATGTAGGGGAAAATGATCTAATCTAAAGAATCATCAAGGTTCTGATGTTCCGAAATGTATGAATATCTTTCCTAGCACTACTCGCTGCTAGATACAAACTGCATTTTCCTCTTAAAATTGCTCTACCTACTGCTCAAGTTGAGCTCATGAAGCTCTTAGTGCAAAATCCGATCATTATCTTTCAAGGTAAAAAGCGAAGGAAGGCATCGTATTCCAGCACGAAACCCATCGCTTAAGGAATCTCGCCAGTTTCTAACCAAAGCCTTCTCAACAGATTGAACTTCCCAAACAATTGAAAGAAAGACACTTGCCGAACGAAAGTTCTACGTCATTCTGGAATAAAACAAAAAGACATTTTCAAATTGTTTCCTGCTCGCTGAGAAGATTTTGCTATCTAACGAAAAAAATACTAACTAATCCACAAATAATTACAAATACGGTTGCTGATTACTATGAAATGTTATTCGATGAGCCAGTGATGGTATATTTATATTTACATGTCAATGTACTCTCGATTCAATGGAATAAAGTAACCGACCTATGCCGTTAGTAGTTACGAACAAGAAAGAAAAAAATAATCACCGGATGTTCATGGACTATCACCCTATATATACCTGATAAATTTCTTCAAAAAATTATTGGCATCTTTTGGTTCAAATGCGTGATTATGCATTTCCCAAATGGTTAAATGCGAAAGAAATTCAAGGACGTAAGAATGATATTACGATCTAAGAAAAATACTATATGTGCACCTGATCAGGCAAGACCTTTCTCGCTTCTCGATTCATTTTTCAAAGTAGAAGAAAGACTATTCTTTATTCGTTTTCTACATGTCTTGAAAGATAGAACCACTCCACTAGGTAATCAATCGGACTTTCGTGCTGGACATCAACTCCCAACACGCGTGTTAATATTCATCCAGCAAATTTCGTCGTGCATGTTGAATAGTTCATCTATCGTGATGGTCTTCGTTGGCTTTAAATCTACCTTTGATCAATTGTGGTTTGATAGATGTTTGTGAAAACTTGCTAGAATGGGTATCCCGCAAGCCGATATAAATTAGATTCAACTTCATATATCAAAAAGATTTGTATTGCATATGGATATACTGGAACAAGCGGTCAGATGGATGGCGACGCATGGAATTTCGGATTCCGTAGTAATAACGCAATGAAGAAGAATTTTTATGCTTTGCTCTATCTTCTGAAAGCTTCCATTCTGTTGCCTCTCACTGTCGTTGTGCATAGACCACATTGATCAGAAAAGAAGAGAAGAATAACAACGAAAGATTTTGTTAATTCATTCAATTACCTTAATACAATTGTGTGGTTCATTAGATACCCTTATCTCTGTTTTCAAATCAAAACCCTGCTTAGAATTTTGTTTTTTCCAGCAGAATTTTGATTTCATAGCAGATTTGTACTTCATTATATATAACGATTATTATTATTAATTCAATATCAACTGACAACATCAAAGACAGCGTGAATGATGGAGCGGGTGAGTAATTCAAATTACTAATGGTCTTCTGCATGAAGAACATCGATATTATTTAAATGATTATTTTTGTACTTGATGAAAATATTGACGTTATTCAAATTAACATTCGAATTTTGATTATAGATATTCAAAATAATGTGATGAAATTTTTTCAAAAATTGTCAGTTTGAAGTTAAATAGAACTCAATATTCAATTGAATTAAATCAATTTCGTCAACAATCTCATCAAATATCAGATCAAGCGAAAATCAAAGAAATTCAATACCCTAGATTTAATAATTTAAATCTTTATAAAACTCGTCAACGTTGGAATTATCTTCAAAGTTTAATTCTGAAGAGATAAGTGTATGTAATAAATGACATAATTGTGCTAGGAAATCATAAATTTTAATATTACGAATATGGTAATGTTCGTCATGAAGAACGAAATAATACTTTGAATAATGTTGATCATTCTGATGCAGAAGAAAATATTCATTCGAATAATGTCAATATTTTCATAAAGTACAACATAATAATTTAAATAACGTCAATATTTCTCATTCGGAAGACCATTAGTAATTGAATAACCTACCTGCTTCATCATTCACACTGTCTTTGATGTTGTTAGTTGATATTGAATTAATAATAATAATCGTTATATATAATGAAGTACAAATCTTCTATGAAAACAAAATTCTAAGCAGAGTTTTGATTTGAATACAGAAATAAGTATATATAATGAATGATGATTCTGTTAGGAAATACGAATTCTGACACAGTTCTGTTGTACTGAAGAGAATTCTTAATAGAATTAGTAGAATTATATTAATATGAACAGAATTTGGATGTAGATAATGACACATATTTACAATACCGAATTCTTAAATTCTACCAGCTCTCTTTTCGTTTTGTTTACTTTCGGTAGTCTTGCTCTTTTTCTTTCTTCATACTGCCTTGGTTGCTTTATCCTTTTCTATTTTTATTCTGTTTGTTACTAGTATGTAAGGTGCTACAGTTCAATTGACAAAAACTTTGCTTGATGTATAAATATGTCTTGATGACCAGACCTCTGACTAGAATAAAATATAATAAATGATAAAAAGTGTAATGATATAAAGTAATTCTATGGATATTTTTATTACAGTGAAGCCAACCAATAAATTGCTTCTTTTATCTTTCAACAACTAAATACATGGCTGCCTGGAGTAGTATGTAGAAACCAACAATTCATATTTAAAAAAAAACTATATAAAAAATTTTTTAGCTGGACTTTTTGATTGTTTCGATGATTGTGGTGTTTGTCTTTATGGTTATTGTTGTGCACCATGTCTATTTGGAGAAAATGCTGAAAAAATTGATGGTAGTAATTGTTGTGGTTCATGCTGTTTATGGTACTTACTGGCACAATGTAGTTTATGTTGTCTAATACATATGGGCAAACGACAAGCTTTACGTAATCGTTATGGTCTTGATGAAGATTGTAATGATTGTCTAGCAACAACATTTTGTGCTCCATGTGCAATTTGTCAAGAAGCACGTGAACTTAAATATCGTTCAGCTGCTCCTGGAGGTATATGAATATATAAAAACTTTATATATTATTGAATAGGTTCTCTATGATTTTAGGACCAACACCAGTTATAACACAACCATTAGGCACATATACGTATTCAATGTATGGACAAGACAATATGCAACCAACACGTGAACAACCGGGAATAATGAAACAAGGACAATTTTAATTGAATAAATTCAATGATTCATTTTTTTTTTCATTTTCTAACTATTTTATCTTTTCATCATCTTGTTTTATCATTTTACATTCTACGTTATTCGAAAAGTATTTAATTCTACATATTAATAAGAAATAAAAATAATAATACTTAATCAATTATCATATTTATTTAAATCTTACATACCTATTTTTCGTTTTATTTCTGTTTATGCTGTTCTGATCATGTACCCGAGATTTCTCAAAAGAACTTCATTATAGTTAATTGCCATTTTTCTTTTGTTTGAAAGAGCATATGTGAAGCTGCAGTGCTCATTTGTGAATTAAGCTTATTAATTATTATTATATAAAAAGCACTTCTATAAGAAGATGACTAGTTCTTGAGCGTTTTTCGAACTATTGAAATCGTTATTTTTGTTTCTTCACATAAAAATTAAGAATTTAAAAAAAAGGACTGTGCCAGGCACTATAGAATGAGGACCCACAGAGAATTTCGAATTGCCAAATGAGCTATTTTCAGTCCATATTTGTTGAATATCTCCCTCGAACGCCATAATACAGGGCTAAAAATTCGAGTATAGTCTCTCCGCTACAACTCCAATATATCATACGATTTGAATACATCTGGCCTAAGATCGATATTTTTTGAGAGAAAGGATTTTAAACTACTAGAATAAAACAATGCAATATCAACAGATGTTACGATCGACAAATCATTATAAGAATACTTGAATTCATTCGATAAATCTTTTCGGCTAAAAACACTCATCATTTACATTAATGATACCAAAACAAAAAATCTTTTGTAAAGAAATACTAAATATGGTCACATATGTGTTAAGAGGAAAATTTTTTTTTCTTGTATCAATACAACCTTTTACTTTCTTAACAGGTATTAAAAAAAATCTATCGACATTCATTTTGAAATTTAATGAAATAAAACTATTAAATGAAGTCTCTTATTGTAATTTCAAAAAAACATAAGCAAATGGTTATTCACTAGTATAAACAGCTGCCGAAAAAAAAAGAAAAAGAAAAAAATACAACATATTTATGAACATTGAATAAAAGTCGGGAGTAGCATTAATTCATTAGTATAAAATACAGCACAATGTAAGCAAGTTGAATGATATTATTGATTCAAACTTCGATAAACATACAAGGGATGAGGTTTTTTTTCCGACGGATATGCAATGAAGACTGAAATATCGTATTATAAAATTCTTACAAAAAAAAAAAAAAGTAAGAAGTGATATAAAATATATTTGCTGTCAAAACATCGCTTTATTAAATAGTAATATAAACTGTTCCGTTCCTATGAAGCAAAAAATAACACTTAAGAAACCTATAAATCATTACTATGAATAGACATAATATATTGACAGAACGCAATTTAAAAGATTAAGACACTCCTCAAATACTTTTTTTGTATTGAATGAATAGTTTATTTATTCTCTATCGTATTCTCTATAGAATATAATTCCTTTGCAATTCAACCATATAGAATATTTATTGCATTCAATAAGAGTCGAAGCAGTATTTTACTTTCACTCATATAAGTCTAGATTTTACTAAAAGATTATTATGTGCGTTATAAAATATAATGTATTGTTACTAACTTCTTTCACAAACGCAATAAGAAACTATATATGTTTATTAACCGACGAAACACATTAAGAGCAATCCCCGTTTCTGAAATTTCGGCAGAACGCGTCGTTAGAAAAATTTGAAATTTTCAGGGCAGGTAAGTTGTTCTTGACGAGTAGTGCAAAAGTTGCTATAGACTCAAAGTTTTCGAATGCCGTCTTCTGTGAGACAGTTGAATCATAATGGTCCCAATTTTCATTTCCGGTTCTTCGGGATGCTATGTTCTATCGAGCTGAAGATTTTATTATAGAGACTTGACAGTATTTGGAGTGGATATCTTTTTATTTTTTGTCGTTCATTAGAAACAATATGAAAAAAGTTTTACCTCGATTGAAGGTACTAGAGCGGAGAAACGGGGACGTTTCTGTACTTTTTTTTTCATGATAAAGATGGCAGTTTTCGCTACATATATTTGATTTCGTCTCTAATTTTTTAACGCTTAAAGATAACCTTTTGGATTCCAAAATGTACTCAATAGATAGATACTACTTTAGACTGTACAATGACCACAAAGAAAATAAAACTTTTGAAGTGCAAAAGGAGAGAGGTACTCTTGAAAAAGTAAAACAGCTCATCGTTCGTCATCTATCTCAAGTTAATTCGTGGAGAATATGAAAGACACCAGCATATTTTACTTGTATTATGCATTTTAGATTACCTATCTTAAAATATAAAATGTCAGGTACTAACGATTGGAATGGTAAGATATATTTAATATAAAAATTATCTTTTTACAGATTTTTTTTTTTATAATGATATTTTAGAATCTTTATGCGGTTGTTTGGATGATTATAGTTCATGTTGTTATGGTTTTTTTTATACACCATGTTTATTTGGTTCAAATGCAAAGAAAATAAATGATCATAATTGTTTTGTTATGTGTTGTTTATATTCAATTTTAACAAGTTGTTATTTATGTTGGATACCACATTTATTTCAACGTCAATTATTACGTGAAAAATATAATTTAAAAGAAAATCCATCATGTGGAGATTGTCTAACAACATTATGTTGTAGTCCATGTGCAATTTGTCAAGAAGCACGAGAAATAAAATCACGAAGTATATTATGATGAAAAGAATTCATTTCATCTTGAAATATTGATTTATTTTCTATTTTTTTCAGAAAGAAGTGTTGTTGCTTATACAATAAATAGTCCAACTGTAGTTTCTCAACCAGTATCATTACAAGAAGGTGTTCATCCTGATATTCATTGAAATTATTAAATTTGAATTAGACATTTTTTCTTAAGAATGAACTTTTCAAATTATTTTATTTCGTTTATTTAGTCAATAAAAAAATTCAGTCAAATATTGCCGATGAAAACTGATGAATGTTACATAAAACAATATTGCATATAGAAAAAGAAGATTAGTTACTTGCAAAATTTCTTTTTCTTTTTAACTATTCTTGAAATAACATTGAAAATCATAAAAATATATGTGCTTCATTTTCTATCTGCTATATTTAAAGAAAGAAAACGAATACTAGAAGGGTGTCTTTGCATTTCTTATCGCGTAAGCAATAAAACTCCACAAATGTGATGATTTGGTAGTTCATAACTCGATTTAAACATACAGATCATATACAATGTTGTGTTTTGAATTTTGTAACTTGGTTACATGGGTATTTATAATAAGAATATTGTACTTTGAATTAGCAAAATGTGACTATTCAGAATACATGAAATCTGTCTAACAATGGATAAAAACCATTCTTCGATAACATTTTATATTTGTTTAGAAATATCAGGCACTTCGAGTTTAACGAATGAACTTTTCTACTGGCAGTCATTCAGTTTATTACTGATTAATTTCCTTTACGATACTCACGAGGGAAATCCTCCAACTGTTCAATCACTTTTAAGTCGAGATTATATGCACATTATGTTGATTCAAATGAGCCTATGAACACCTTTGAAAGAGTTCGCGTCCTTAGTTTATTGTGTGCGAAGCTACTTTACTTCTACGGTATGTTTTAAATAAAAGCTGTGATCCAGAAAAACTGATTTTCGAGTTTCGACTGAAAACCTTGTGTTGAGACATGTCCTAACAAGAATAATTTATTGTGAAAGTTTCAAGTCTTTTGATATGCTTCTCTATCCTGAAAAAAAGAAAATCAAATCTGCTGGTTTATATGAATGATGTAAAAGACACACTTTAATCATAGTTATATCTTAGGATAGTAACGGCGACAAGATCTGAAAGTTTCACGAGAAACTATTCTCGTTAAGACATGTCTCTAGGCAAAGTTTTAAATCGAAATTCGAAAATCAAATTTTCTGGATCGTGGCATCTGACGTATTTTTTTGAAAAATACTGTAAAAGTACGATACCAGCACCACAAGCAATAAACTAAGGATACAAACTCTTTAGAGAGTATTCATAGCTTATTTTGATCAATACAATGATAATTTATAGAACATTTGGTAATAACAAACGTTTATTTAAACATAATTCAATTATGATTACTTGAACAACTGCAAGCAAAACGATGATCGAAAATTTAATATACAATCAATTTCATCATAGACAACTTCAATCAAAAAAAAGTCAATTTTCGTCAGAAAAATCGAAATTGAGATTATGTATGGGAAGATAATCTGAGGTCTGATCTTTCATAAACGACATGATTTTGTATTTGATACTTTGTTTTCTACTTAAAATACATGCTAATCATTTTTTTTTCTGATTGCGGTGCCAAAAATTTCGAATTAAGTTTTTTTTTATTGGTATAATCACATAAAAATCAAAAAACCGATTCTGCATTCCGACATGCTCTTTCAAATGAAATCTATTAAATGACGCGGTCCATAGAGAACTTTGAATTATTTTTAAGTCTTGTTTGTTGAATGATCTTCCTCAAACATTATGATATAGGGCTGAAATTATTAACATAATCTCTCTGCCTTATCTTCAACATCTCATATCCCAATAGAAATACCTTGAAGATTAAAATTCCAAAAAAAACATTTGAAGATAGATTTTATCCAATCATTAGCATGCTATATAAAGTTCGTGTCTCCTTGATTGTAGATGTTTTTCCTTAATTGGAGGAAAAAAAAATATATATATCGATATAAATATATGTAGACATATGTGCCTGATGAGACCTTTAGTAGCTTTTTATCTCCTTGTATGCATAGATATGAACGAGACAATAAATACCCAAAAAAGAAAAACACAAAAGAACGACGAAAAGATCAAAAGTTACATCTCTATTAACTTGACGATGACTATACAAACGAATAAGGAAGTAGACAAAATCGTCTATGTGTATTTCGGCTAATAACACCAAGGTAAACACTCATTTAGAAAAAAAAAAAGATGGAGAATAGGGGCGTATGTTCAATATTGACAATTA